TTATAGTAGCTATAGTTAATACTCTAAAAAGAATTTTTAAATTTTCTAAACTCTCAATAATATACTTTGCATAACTTTCTTCACTCTCTCCTTATTACAATAGCCTTATAGCTAGCCTACACCAACTATTCCTAATCTTTCTACACTATTACCAAAATTCTAGACTCTTATTCGACTTGTCATCTTCCAAAAAACCATTATCTACTATCTACCAAGAGCTTAACTACAAAGTGTGCAAATTCTTTCTATTTAACTAAGCCACTTTTACTATTTCACTTGCTGGAGTTGTTTCTTAGTTTAGAAAATATTACATCTTTAAGCTACTTCCTAATTACTTCTTTGCTATTAACCTCTTTTTCCAAAAAATATAAACAAGATCAAAACTATCTCTCTATTCAACTACCCTATTACTGATAATGCTGAGGCAAAAGAGTTTGTCAGACAAGTTTTTTTCTACTATTAAATCCTATTTCTAATTATAGCAGAAATTATGCAAGCCAACCTAACCAATAAACCCACCTTGCCAGCTGCAGAAGAAATTACAAAATATTTTAATATTTCTTTTCCAATTACAACTCTACAGCAACCTATGACTATAGCCATACTTCTTTGCAGATACTACTACTTTGCTTAGCTCCTATCTAAATAGATTCAAATTGAGAGTAGCTTTTCTACTTTAGCTGAGAAAGCCAACCTAGTCACAAAGCAAGCCCTCCCTAATATTTCTGACAATATAGAGAAAATTATCAATACTCTTTCTAAACATGAAATCATCATCTCTCTCCCAATACAAAACCAATTAAATATTATTCCTACAATGAAGATTCTAAGACGATTCTACACAATCAAGAAAATCTTTGACTCTCTATTAGACCTCTTTTTACTTTTTACTCCAAGTTAGAATATCTTCAACAGTATATCTACAATCTCAGGCCCAAATATTTCTAGTATAGTCATGTCTTATACTAGCATCATACTAGTATCAAACAATCTTATATATAACCCAGTACCTACAGAAGAGTTTAATACCATAGTAGTAGTTGCTTTCACAGAAAAAACCTCATCTACCAACAACAATACTCTTCTATTAAACAACCCAATACCTATAGATACTAATGAATACTCTAATGAGTAACTCTTATAATATACACACTTTTATAATCTCTC